CGAGTCTCCAGCCCCTGTGCAGGTCTCATATGATCCTTACACTTACTCTCAAAATTTTGATCAAGGGTGCGCATTGGACGAACTTGATGAATATGATGACCTATCTCGCTCATTCTCCATGCGTTTTGCAGATCCTTCTAACATCTTTTTAAAGAAAGAATCGATGGTTTAGGAGAGCACAAATAAAACTTGTAGTTGTACCTATGATTCTTGATTGATATTGGATATCGATATGCGGTGTATATAGTAATGTTCTTGAGCTCTGTCTCATAGCTTCTTCATCTATTTTGTGCTGTTGTTGTTGCCACTTAGTTTGGTTCTTAGAAAACACACAAGTTCATCAGATTCTATTTCTGTTCTATAAGATCTCAGCCTAAAAGGGTCGACGAAGATGATGAGTTTAGTTTTGTAACCATTCAAGTAGAAGAGAAAATGAAAATTCTGAATAAACCTCTAATTGCTCTCGTATGGAGTCACTACTTTGGCCAGCACTTTACTCCTTACGGGCCGACCCAGTGTGAACGGGGATTAGTCTGGGTTGTGGTTAAGGCTTAAAGGTGCCATCCATAGTTGGAGCCCATCCAGGACCACCTCGTGGTTCAGACAAAAAAAAAAAAAAAAAAAAAAATGAAAATTCTGAATAAACCTCTAATTCCAAACTCCTTTACTTTCATATCATGAATCTTGCAGAAATTTTAGAATCAAGTTAAAGAGTTTACTTGCAAATTGTTGTGAGATAAGCTTACGAATTCGACAGCTAAAGAGTTTGCTTGCACTTGCTGGAAAATTATGCTCTAGCATTAGTATCATGAATTTACAGATGCTTTAAGATGCTCATGGTGATGTTTAATTCAACACTGAAAAAGCAGACCCCAATTGTCAAACATTGACATCTCCGAAAAACCAGTAATACCCTTGCTGCTTTGGTCGTGTAGTAGGATACAAACGACATTATGTATTTTTCCTTATTCACGAATTGACCCCAATGTCTGTTGTCTTTTTCAGTTGAGGACATATTTGGTTTACTAATTAAGGTTAAACGACACCCCGCTCATCTCTCAACGTGAAAGGGTCATAGAAAATTCACATTCACCAGAACTGGAAATTATCAGTATACAGACAGACTGACTGATCGTCGTATTTTTCTTTTTCTTCTGCAATAGGGTTTAGGGTTTTCAAATTCCCAATTCAGTGACTTCTGAACACCGTCGTTTCAAAATCATACACCCATGGCCATGGGGACCGAACTGGTGGTCACTACGGACCGGGTCCAGAAGTTCTTCGACGACCTAGAGGCGCAAAAGGCCATTCTCTCCACATCCACGAAGCTATTCACAACCCTATCCAAACACTTCAATTCCCTCCAAGACTCCCTTTCCCAGAAATCACAATCCCTAGAATCCAAAATCCAATCCCTCGAATCCCGTTCCCGCGAAACCTTAGAATCCCTCGACCTCCGGGAGACCTCCATCCCGGAGCGCGAGTCCGCTGCCGCCGCCCGAATCGAGGAGCAGAAAGCTGCGGCCTTGGCCGAGTTCGAGAAAAGCATTTCCGGGAATTTGGATTTGCCCGAAACCCTGAAATCGTTTTCCAGGAAAATGGATCCGCAGGGATTGCTGAAATTCATCATTTCCAAGCGAAAAGAATCGATATCGCTTAGGACCGAGCTTGTACAGGCAATAGCCGAGGCTGTGGACCCACCAAAGCTGGTACTTGATGCATTGGAAGGGTTTTTGGATTCTAAAGCCAAGAAAATTGGGGTTACCGATAAGAGGTGGGCGTGCGGGCTGTTGGTTCAGGCTCTGTTTCCGGAGGGTAGGTCCAATTCCGGGGAGAAAGGGCCGGAATTTTCCCGGAGCGTGGTGGAGAGAGCAGCGCGGATTGCGGACACGTGGAAGGCGCAGATGGTGGGGGATTCGAACGGTGGAGGCGGGACATTAGGGGCAGCGGAGGCCGTGATGTTTGTGCAAATGGTGATTGGGTTTCGATTAAAAGAGAAGTTCAGTGAGGAGTTCTTTAGGAAGTTGGTAATGGAACATGCGGCGAGGAGGGATATGGCAAAGCTCGCAGGGGCATTAGAATTTGGAGAGAAAATGGGAGGTATGTGGTTGTTTAATCAGACCAATTTGTTGTTCCTTCAGTTGGAGATAAAAAAATATGTTCTTTGTGGTAATTTGTTACTGTAGAACCTTTAATGACTTCATGAATATATAAATATACATACATATGTTTAGTAACATTGGTAGCAATAGGATCCTGGTTATTTATATTGCAAGTGTCACTGTGCAAGAAACTGTATGCTACCATTTGTTGAGAAACTTGTATTTTGTATTTGGTCTTTCTGCTTGCATTTTGTATCCTGCTAACATAACCAGGCATAAATGATCGAACCTTGTCCTAGATTGTTGGCGTAAGTTTGATTTTTGAATGGCTCCCAGAAGTGTTCAAGTTCAGTGTGCTGTGCACACAGATTAGGGTTGATGTCAGTCTCTCTGTTTCTTGGTACCAATGAGATTTTAGGTTGAATTAATCATGTAGAAACACAAAACTTGTATGGCTAACGTTGTAGCGTATTTGGTAGGAGATGGTATTAAGATTCTTAACCTTTTTGAAATCTAACTAGGCTAATTGATTTGCTAATCTGGGGGCACTCAGAGTGTAATATCTGGGTACTTAGAGCTGAAGCAGATAGCTGAAATACTAAGTTGTGATGATGAAGTGGTGCCTTTTCAGAAATTTCTGCTCAGAGAGACAGGATTATTATTCGCTTTCATTTGATTCAAATAATTTCTGATTTGTACAGATGTGATTGATGAGTTAGTGAAGAATGGAAAGGAGATAGAGGCTGTATATTTTGCTTCTGAGACTGGATTGACCGAGAGGTTTCCTCCTGTTTCTCTGCTCAAGTCATATCTCAGGAACTCCAAAAAGAATGCTACGACCATATTGAGGAATGGCAATAATAGTTTGGCTGCAACTGTATGTGTAACTCCACCTTTTATCTTAGTTTCCCAATGGAGTTCTGTTTTCGTTCTGTGATCCGATGAGTTTTCTGCACTCTTTTGTGAGATTTCTTAATTTAAGTTCATCTTACAGGAGGAGTCGAGCACATTGGAGTTGAATTCCATCAAAGCAATCATCAAATGTGTAGAAGACCACAAGCTTGAATCAGAGTTTTCCCTTGATAGCTTAAGAAAGCGGGCTACTCATCTGGAGAAAGCCAAGGCAGAAAGGAAAAAGAGCTCAGCAGCTTCCAGCAGGTCTCATAATAATAATAATAATAAGCGAGCCTACGGAGGTGGGGTTGGTGGTGGAGGTGGAGGTGGTGGCCGAGGGGTTGGATCATCTTCTTTCCGCCCTGCCAAAGCTGCCAAGTTTTCCAATGCTTACTCCTCCTTTAACAGGAGGAACCCAAATCCTCCTCCACAACATAGCCCTGCAACACGATATTCTGGTCCATACAATTACCCAAGCCAAACTGTGTACGATGGTCCAACAGCAGCCTCATTTGGATCCACATATGGAGTGCCCCATGCTCAAAGCCCTGCTGCTCTTCCACCACAACACTACTCCCTCTCGGGGGACAACATGGCCGCTGGCGGGTTCCGAAGCAGTGGTGCATATGGTGGCCAGACCAGCTATGGGCCATATGATTACGCAAATGCTGCTCCACCATCCTACCAACCTCCTTCATATCCACAGTAGTTAGAAGCAGACATAGCTTAGATGGAGCTTTGTTCCCTCTTGTATTTGCTAGCCTTACTTGACTTTAGAGAGTTGCGTCATCACAATTGTTTTCATTACTTTGATTATTAACTTTCCCAATCAAAGGCTCAAGAAAACAAAAACAAAAACAATTTATCCATTTCTTTCCATGGTTTACTTCAATGATCAATCCAAGGTTTTTTTGGTTCAGTGGTAGAGCGATCGTTTACGCATCCACCAGAAGGCTCTGTTTTAGTGTAGATAAACAATGGGGAGGGAGGTCAAAGGACTCACGTGGCCAAGTTGACAATAGTTGCTTCACGTCATTGGTCAATGCTCCCTATTTTTGGACAAATATCGGGCTTCAGTTTCATACATAAATTATCGCCCACCCAAAAATAAAAAATAAATATAAGAGTTTGTTCTTTGCACGAACTACAATTAGTCTACAAAGAAAGCTGGAAAATACCAACTCGGATTTACTTTTTTGTGTTGTTGTGTCATTCTTTTGCCATTTTCTCATCACTTCCCCATTGAAAATGTGCAAGGAAAAAAGCCATGTTATTTTGCCTTAATACAATAAAACTAGGTATTTGTCAAATGGTAGATATATAAAGCAGACCATAGCATATGATAGATATATAAAGCAGAAAGCATGCTGTCCTCTTTTGCCTTGCCTCCCTTCCCTTCCCTTGCTTAAAATTCCAAGCTCAAGCAGCAACCAAAATAAAGAAAGGAACCCTTCATTTTCGCGTTTGTTTCTGAGCTTCTTACCGTGTCTATTATTCAAATCATTCGGTATGCCGTGTCTATTCTTCTTTCTTCTTTTTTGTCCCAGTTGATTCTTTTGCCATGTCCGTCCATTTAGTTTGGGTAAGGAAACTGTAGTTTTCTTACGTATTGAATGGGGCCGTTCCGTTGTAAACGCCACTACCGAAAGACGCTCCAAGATGGACGCTATGGATAGCGTAGGGGATAATTCACTAATGAGGGAATTGGTATTTCTGTCCCCGTAACAATTGTTGTGCGTCAGTCATAAAGCATCAACGAGAGTTATTCACGTGCATGAATTCCTTATTAGTACAAGACATATGCTTATTTTTACTTTTTACCCCCAGTTGATCAATATGATAAATAAGCTTTGTTTACCACTTGCGGATGCTAATGTAATGAGAGCATACGTGGGTTGCTCGTATCTCTTGAGATATCGTCGTTGACATTGACCCTCACATCAAATCAAAATTACATTTGTCTCCTCCGCCGTTTAGTATTAAATACAACAGAACGATATACAAGGAAACTAACTCAATTTCACACAAGGAAAGAAGAGAGCACAGAGAGGAAGAAGCCGAAGAAGAAGAGAGAGATGGGAAGTGATTGTAACGGCAGCTCAGCTTCCGAGTCTTTTGTGAAGAAACCCACAATAAAGTTCACCAAGCTGTTCATCAATGGAGAGTTCGTTGACTCCATTTCAGGTTTTCTTCTCATCATCATTTTTCATTTCTCACAACAAAGCTAATAAATAAATAAGCCATAGCTTTTCACGTCCAGTTGTTCTTTCTGTCCTTTTCTCTTCTTCCATGCTTTCATTCTCCAACCAAAACCCTTTTATTCATTTGCCAATTTGGTCGTATCTGCATGTTTGTCTGATCCAAAACTCTCAAAATTCAATCTTGGCCACTTTTCAAGCAATAACCAACAAACCCATCTCTGTTTTCAACTAGTGCATGCCATATGTATGAAGATATGAGCAACCCACATGCTTAAGTCAATCACAGTCACTGATCAAATTGTTAAACTTTCTGATCATTTACTAATGTGCTAACACGAAAAATGGGTTTGTTTCTTATGATTTTGTGAACCCAAAAAACTTGAAAAGGGAAAACATTTGAGACCATAGATCCAAGGACAGGGGAGGTGATAACTAGAATTGCAGAAGGAGATAAGGAAGATGTTGACTTGGCTGTGAAGGCTGCTCGCGCCGCGTTCGACAATGGCCCTTGGCCCCGCTTTCCTGGCGCTGTATGTGTCTTTTACTCTAAACCTTTTTCTTTTAACCTGTACTATTTTTACCTTATTCGACCGTTCAATCAAGACCTAGTCTTGTCCTTTTAAAATAAAAATAAAAATTTAATGATCAATATTTAAAAACAAAAAATTAAATCTTTCACCAAATTAATTAATTGCTCATTACACATGTTTCTAATTTTACCTACATCATTGGACTTTTAATATAAAAGATTTACTATTTTTAGAGAATTTTGTCTATTGGGTAAAATTTTCAGAGCATTATTGAGTGTTTTTTTTTTGTTTGTATAAATTAATTCCTTGAGTCAAGAGAGCTTGTCGTCTGGAGGAGGTATACATGATTATTTTATGGTCCAATTTTAGCATATGAATATGAAATGTGATAGCAGCCAGTTATAGGGGTGGAATATTTTTTGGGAGATTCACAATTGTATTCAATGTAAGGGCCTAAATTATAAAAATATTTTATATGAAATAGACTTTAGAAATACACTCAAAACCCATTTACAATATAACAAATAGGCTTTTAACTTTTTATAAATTACAAAATTGTCATCGATTTATTAAAACAAGCTCAACCTCAATACCTCATAAAAAAAACTCAAAACACTCAATAGGGTATCAATGTAATTTAATAATCAAAATTAAATTTAATAGGGCCAGCCATCATTTTTTTAAAATTTATTTTGAATTTGTTTATAAAAATTAAATAGTGTAGTGTTTATCTATATCATTAGCGCTTAAAATGAATATATGACTAAATATCTTTTTTTATTTATTTATATTCAATCGTGGCTAGCACCATACCCTCACAATCTTCAATAATTTCTGAAATCCATTTAGTTAATGTGGACAGGTTAGACTTTAGGTGATAATTTAACTCTATTAGGTATATATATTAAGATGACGTACGAAGAAAAAAGTCTTTTAATATCATAGTCAGAAGGATGGCGGCCACGAATAAAAGCAAAATGATATATTTTATTTAATTTCAAAAATTATTATTCGCACTGAAAAAAAAAATCATTGTGCAACCCTATCGCGCTTGATGATATATATATTTTTTTAGTACAAGCGATAATCTAAATTACAGGGAAAATGAATTTCTCACACACACAACTAAAATGACATAAATGTTCGAACATGAGACATCTCTTAGTGCATGAATCCATGACAATATTTTTAGATAACAACTCCTATATATATATATATATATATATATATATTGGGTATGAACCACGAGGTGGTCCTAGATGGGCCTCAATTATGGTGGCACCTTTAAGCCTTAACCACAACCCAGACTAATCCCCGCTCACACTGGGTCGGCCTGTAAAGGGTAAAGTGTTGGCCAGTAGTGACTCCATACGAGAGCAGGGATCGAACCCTTGACCTTCTCTTAAGGAATGAGAGTGCCAAACCACTCACAACAACTCCTATATTTTACAAGTGCCAATAACAACTCCTTTTATTTTATTTTTGTTTAAATATAAAAATCTTCATAGTTGCTTGTGTTATACGACGCTGCATTAATTTTTTAGATCTTATAATTTGAATAAAATCATTTTCAAAGTTATCTTCAGTGTATTATTTGATAAGAAGGTTTCGTTGACAAAAGTTTAACAGCATTTATGAATAAGAAAGGTCAAACTCAAATGTCATTTTCGTTAATAAAATAAAAAAGGATTCGACCAAAAAAACTTACAAAAAGAAAGATACAAAAGGAAAAAATGAACGTCCTTTTCTGAACGAAAGTTTAAATTATGTATTACCATACAATTAGTACTCAGACAAGTCAAATTGCAAAAAAATCCAGGAATGAAAGAGATGGGCATGTAGAGGCGGTCAGTTCAGTACTGTAGCTAATAATAAAACCTGCTTTGCCTTTGAGTATTTAGATTTAGTATGAATTTGAACTAGTTTTCTATATAATTCATCTATGAAGAATTAATTTTCTGTACAAGCAGTTGTTTATGCGCGTGTGGATGATTGTAAATGATTGATTAGTGAGAAATTTACTGTAAAATCCGTATTAATCAGTGTGCTATCAAAGCTCTAAGTACTATATTGCCTTGAACAATGTTCAGGAGAGGGGAAGGATAATGATGAAATTTGCGGACTTAATTGACCAACATGTAGAAGAACTAGCTATCTTGGATACCGTTGACGCTGGGAGGTTGTTCAACTTTGGCAAGGCCGTAGACATACCTCAGGTAGCAGAAAATCTACGCTACTACGCGGGTGCAGCCGACAAAATCCATGGAGATGTGCTCAAAATGTCCCGCGAGCTTCAAGCCTATACGTTGCTCGAACCCATTGGTGTTTTGGGGCACATCATCCCATGGAATTTCCCAAGCACCCTGTTCTTTGCAAAGGTCAGCCCTTCCTTAGCCGCCGGGTGCACTATGGTCATCAAACCTGCTGAGCAAACACCTCTCTCTGCTCTGTATTATGCTCACCTGGCTAAGTTGGTATGCTAGTTAACCATGCTAGCTCTATGTGCGTGTATTAATTTATATTGGTATTATTGCTAATGTGGCTTATTGGTGGGAACTTCGGCTTGTAAATTTCTTTATGAAGGCTGGTGTTCCTGATGGAGTGCTCAATGTCATAACTGGATTTGGACAGACTGCTGGTGCTGCCATCAGCTATCATATGGACATTGACAAAGTAAACATCTTTCATTTACAGGAACATTTTCTTACAACATTCGAGGATCGTTCTCGAATGGCTTGCTGTAATCTGTGATGTTTGATACTCGATCTTGACATTTTCAGGTCAGTTTTACTGGTTCCACAGAGGTAGGGCGTTTAGTAATGGAGGCTGCAGCAAAGAGCAACCTAAAACAAGTTTCACTTGAACTAGGAGGCAAGTCACCCCTTGTGATTTTTGATGATGCTGATATAAATATGGCTGCTGACCTTGCTCTCTTGGGAGTCCTTTACAACAAGGTAAAGTTCCTAATTTTATTTCAACTTATAAATTAACACTTCCTTTATAACAACCTGGTTAGATTATGTTAGCAGCACTAACTCTGTGTTATCAATTCATATTTTCAGGGAGAAATTTGCGTGGCGAGTTCTCGAGTTTTTGTTCAAGAAGGGATTTATGATGAACTTGTGAAAAAGTTAGAGGAGAAGGCAAAAGCTTGGGTAGTTGGGGATCCTTTTGATCCAAATGCTCGTCAAGGACCCCAGGTAACTAAACAGTTGACAGTTAAGATCCAAGATCATGCTTTAATTAGTAAATGCCTTCTCACCAATTTACTCAAAATTGCAGGTTGATAAGCAGCAGTATAATAAAATCCTAACCTACATTGACCATGGGAAGAATGAAGGAGCCACTTTGTTAACAGGAGGAAAACCTTTGGGGAACAAGGGATATTACATTGAGCCAACAATATTCACTGATGTCAAGGTACATCTTCAACTTCAGAAATGCAATCTGATATGATTAAAAAGGGTCTTGACATAACTTTTCTCAGGACGACATGCTTATAGCCAAGGATGAAATATTCGGGCCGGTGATGGCGCTGATGAAATTCAAGTAAGTGCAGCTCTCAACTCTCATTTCTTTTGTTGTTCAATTAATCCAAGCAATATTGGGGAAGGGGGATTTGAACACGGGACCTTGGATTCAAACATTGTTTTACTCGTGTTTTGATATGAGCAAATATTGTAGGACAATTGAGGAGGCAATACAGAGAGCAAACAACACAAGATATGGGCTAGCAGCAGGGATTATAACCAAGGACTTGAATGTGGCCAACACTGTCTCGAGGTCAATTCGTGCTGGCATTATTTGGATCAATTGCTACTTCGCTTTCGATCGAGACTGCCCTTATGGAGGATATAAGATGAGTGGCTTCGGCAGAGACTTTGGCTTGGAAGCCCTCCACAAGTACCTCCACACCAAATCTGTCGTCACTCCCATTTACAACTCTCCCTGGCTTTAAATGATCACACTCTGCAAGTTGGCAGATGATTGGGAAATCACATCATTTGTAGCAACTTGAATAATGCAATAAACTACTAAATTCAATATATATCTGTATTTTTATGAGGGAATGGAAATGTCAGATTGTATATTATCTTTTGTTTCTGTTGTTTGTGATGCAAAATACACAAGTTGGAGTTTGACGTCTATCATTATTGGACATGGGTTGCAAATTGCCCTCTGGCAGCGAAGGTAACATGATGTCTATACACTGCCCTCGGTCAATGGGTTCTTCACAATAGACCAGTTAAACTAGGGAAGGAAAAATCCAATCGAAATGGACAACTCCAATTAACATGCCTTGCCCAACTTAACAATGGTAGGACCAAGACTCATTAAATTGAACAATTATTAATCGCCTCCGGAATAGTTACTCTAAATTAATACGAGAATTCGAATTTGGGATGCAGAGAAA